ACCTGATCATTGAAAAGTGGCATGGTGCTACAATTACTGTTGAAGCTAATCAGCTTTGGCAGACGTTGTAATCTCAAGGACCGCAACAACTGACCAAACTTTGGCTTTACTTCTTGACTTGCTTCAACAATATCTTCTCTGCTCCTTTGCTCCTTGACGAGATCAATAATCTCTTCCATGTTGCTGCAGTCTGACACTCTAATTTCTTGTAGTTGGAGAAACTGGCTAGCTATGGAAAAGGAGAACAAATTCTTTAGCTGATGACAACACTCAATTGTTATTGTTCTTAATTTGCTAAAAGCCGTATCTTTGAACCTGGCTTGAAATAACTTCTCCAATTTAATTAAATTACGAAGAAACAATACTTCCAAGTTGGGAAATGCACTGAAAGGACCCCATCCCCTTAGGTTAACAATTTGATGAAGCTCTGGAGCGTTACAAATATAGAGATACTTCAGATCTGGAAAATCTTCAATATCTAACTCATCAACCACATTCTTTACACCATTCAACTGTTCTAGATGTAGCTCTTCAGTCATCTTCAACAACCGTTTAATTGAATAGTCGAATCTTATGTGTGTCTTCATCTGTAGCTTCAATACTTTTGAGCTATCAAACGAGCTATCCCGGTTGTTCCACACATCCCCGATGAATATCTTGTATCTTTCTAATTTTCCAGGGATCTTTTGAACATCAAGGACACGTAACTCCAAAGCTGTTAGTCTAGGTAACTGTGTCAACTCAGCAAGGCTAGCATTTCTTTGCTTCCCATGCCCCATGACATCCCACTGGTAAAAGCTGTTTCCCATTTTTAGCTCTTGTAGTTCGGACAAACGTGCTAAGACTTGTTGTGGAATTACTTTCAATTTTGTGCAGTCACTCAAATCTAACAACTTTAGCTCGGTCAAACTCCCTACTTCTTTTGGCAGCTCTTCAATTTTACATCCTGCAAGGCTGAGGACTTGCAAATTCTTCAGCTTTCCTATGATAGCACCTACGTCTTCATCTCCTAGCACACTTTGATCCAAACGCAATGTGCGAAGGTCTGCTAGGAGGGTAATAGAAACAGGCATGGGGGATAAATTCATTTTTGTCAAACTCAAGACTCTGAGTTTTTCAATCCCCGAAAAAAAATTTGTAGGAATTGCTGGAGAGTAGTTGGACAAATGAAAGAAAGTAAGCTTGGGGCATTGGAGCTTATCTGGAAGCAGACCACCGCAAGCATCTCGATTTGATGAAAAAATCCATTTCAAATCTGTCATTACCTCTTTGTCTGGCCACCCTCCCTGCACGTCCTCATCTCTTGAAGTAAACACACCATAGTTCCTAGAAGCCATTGACTTAGCAACATCCCGAATGAGGTCATGCATGTCAAAATACATTTTGCTACGACCTTCTACCAACAGAGAAGACGCTTTGAGATGATCAACCAACGACAACACTCTGTTTCGTGTTTCTTCTATGGTGCGGACATTTAGAAATAAACCCAAACCCACACCATATTTCACCAACTCTTCAACTGAAGCATTGTGGCTTAGCAAACTACACATCAAGAATGTTTGCTTGAGTTCTTCTCTTTCTAAATGCTTGAAACTGAACTCTATAGCTGAAAACAATTTCGCAGATTTCCCATCCGGAGAAGGTCTTTTCAATTCTAGCAGAGCATCCTTCCAATCATGCACACTCTTATTTTTCAAAGCATTTCCAATTGTTGCAACAGCAATCGGCAATCCTCCACTTTCTTTTGCAATCTTCCTTCCAATCTGCTGCAACTCATGCCTTTCAACATCCTTGCCAACTACCTTCTTAAATAGCTCCCATGATTCATTATCTTCTAATCGACCAACTAGAAATTCTTCTTCAGTACTCATATCACCTGATAAAACAGAGCGATCTCTGGAGGTCAACAAAACCTTACATGCAAAAATTTGTTGTTCAGCTGAGCTTTCATCACTCTTTTCACCTACAGGTTGCCTTTGCTCATTTGCAGCTAAGGGGATTCCCACATCCTCCAAAGCTATTGGTCCCCAAATATCATCCAAAATTACTAGGACCTTCTGCCTTTCTTTCAGTGTTGCCTTTATTCGAGCAGCAGCTTCCCACACTGGAATCCCATCAGGAAGCCGTAAACCCAAGCCACGTTGAATTTCTTGTTGAATACTTTTCAAGTCTGGATTCTTTGTCACTTTAGCAATAACAACTGCATCAAACAACTTCTCTTGCTCTGCTTTTCTTTTAACTTCTCCAGCCAGCAATGTCTTCCCCACGCCTGGCATCCCGTACACCCCTATCTTGTTGATGCTTGGAGTTAGTAGAGCCTCCATGATCTTCTTCAAAACATGCTTTCTTGAGTCAAAGTCCTTGAAAAATTCATCAACTAGGGCTGTTTTCTCCTTTTCCCCACGAAAGAAGGAAATTCTATTGAACTTGGCCTCCTCCAGAAGTTGACCAACAGCCAGGGCATCCTCCTCTGCTTTTTTGCTTAGTCTGTAAAGCGACTTGGGATTAAGACACAACCCTAGGAAACACCTCTTCTTGGCTTTGTCTTCTAATTTATCCAGTGATTTCTTTGCCTCTACAGTAATGTAGTTATCTGCTTTACTCATCCAATTCTTGACCTCCTGTTCAATTTCTTCAGCCTTTCCTTCAGCTTCATTAACATCGTGTTGCACACTCTCTCTTCTATCCATCAGCTGGTCCAGTTTATCCTTCAGATTTCTGACATTATCGCTCCATTTGTAAACAAGAGTTATTGGTTTTGAGATCAGATTGATAGTCGATTCAACTAGGTGCTCAGCACATTTGCCACCCGCAGCAACGCCAATGTCAGCGGCCATCTTCTAATTCTGTTTTTTTTTTCTTTCTTTTTTTTTTTCTTTTTTTTGGTGTGTTGAGAGACAGGAAACAGAAGAACAAAGGCTGATAATGATAGGAGGGTGAGCTGATTTGTATAGCGGGACGAAAACTGGTCAGAATTAGAGAGACAAGAAGCAGAAGAACCAAATTAAACGAAGGTGAAAAATGAGAATTGTAGGAGGAAGAGCAAATTTCTGTATGGGGATGTGAGGTGAGGTGAGGTGAGGTGCAGAGTCATGATCAAAAAGAAGAGTTGAGCAAAGACGATGAAGGAAACAAGTCAGGATGAAAACAAATAAAATGAAATGGGGATAATTAATGAAATAAAGGATGAAAATAGTGAAAAGATGAGATGATTTGTGAAAAGGGAGGTGAGTTGAGGGGGCAGAAAGCAGCAGAAGATGATAAAAAGGACCGACCAGAGACAAATGAAGGTAACAAGTTGGGATGAAAGCAAATCAAATGAAATGGTGAACACAGCGAAAGTGAAAAAGAGGTATTGAGCAGCAAGTTCTAGTCTGAAGGGGATTCACGTGAAACGCTTTTTATGGCAGAGATTGGCAATTTCACACCACTTGTAATCAGGTTTTAGGTTAAAGGCGCATTATTTTACCAACCTTCCTTGCTTATCTTGACTTTAAGATGCAACCTATGAGACATAATTCTCATTTAACTGAAGGTCTTGACTCGTGTCTACTAAATCGGGATGTGGAGATCGGTATTTAGGTGGGTTAAAATTACTCAATCAATATGGAATAAAGCGAATCTTCCATCAAAGGTGATGCACAATAACAATGACAAATATGAAATGCACATGCGCCCTTCCCTTACCACTTTTCCAAGACGCGTTTTCTACCCCCTTTTTTTTTTTTTTTCTCAAAAAGTGACGCGTCTTCTACCATTGAAATGGCAGAAAAGCATGAGCTCGTTGCCAATAAGAAAGTTGCTTATACCAAGCACATTGTAAGGGTGAAGAGTACTCTGTGGAGCTTAATGTAGAGAAATAAATAATTCGAAAAGAGAAAAAGGGATTTCCATCAATAAATAAATAAAAAAAGATAGTGAACACTGCAAGACAATATTGTATAAAATAAAAATTATTAAATAAAAAATAATCTCAAATATTTAAGGCTTAATTTATTAATAATTTAAGTTATACTGTTTAATGTAACAATTGAATTAAAGAAAAGATGGAAGGCAATGTTTTTACTCTTATTGGCACCTGAAACTTATGTAAAAGAGATTTGGATTTTGCTAGTCTGTTCATCAGTGTTTCTATGTTTTATAAACCATTGTGTTTGAAGGCAAAAAAAAACAAAAAAAAAAAACCCATGTGTTTGATCTTTAGGTAGAAGCTCCCATAAGTAAAATATATAACTATGTTGGGAGGTAAATATTCTTTGTAATTTAAAGTAT